CCTTACTCTGATATAAATTTATAATAAATGTACAAAAAACAAATTTCTTATTACATAAAAGACAAAATTTACTAACTGCTACAATCGGTTTCTAATCGCATTTTTTTTGCTCTTGGTCCTCCTTCGCCCCTTGATTCGTATGTCCAAATTCCCAATTGACCATCCCTAGAAGAACTTGCAATTTCTATTCGATGCGGGTGCCAATGTACGTCTCTTATACAATCCATATTTTTATGATCGAGTTCTTTAACGATTTTTCCAGAATTAGTGTTATATATTATCACCTTACCATCGGCGCTACCAGCATAAGTATATCTTTGGCCAGTATTGAATTGTGGCGAAAATCGACACCGCATAAGAGTCCGTTGTAGTATGTGACCTACATATGTCATAACAGATCTATCCTCTGGTATAATAGGGTCATCATAAGCATCTGCATTGTAGCGCCTTGGAAAATAGTCGACTATTTTTTGTTCTCGACACATTCGGATGTCCCACAATTTGGCACATTGGTCATGAGAATTTGTCAAAAAATGTTTTCCATCGTTTTTTGAATCAATGTGTAGAATATCATATCTATGGCCGTATAAAAAACCAACCGGCGATGCTCGATTCTCATTTAAACATCTTATATCCCAAATTCTGCAAATTGTGTCAGCACCACCGCTTACGAAAATTTTAGAAGACTTTTCAAGAAATGCCATTGAGTAGACAGTTCCAGTATGTTCCTTAAAAAGTAGTGGTTTATCGATTTCCAAATCATGTATACAGATGTAACAATCGGTAATGGCGGATAAATACATTTTACAATCCCCACTAAATTTGATAGGAAATATTCCGCAGTACAAATCGTCTTTTGTATATAAAGCACTTGATACATGTTTATGAACTTGATCTTCAATATTGTACAAATATACTCTTTTTCCTGGACATTTGCAGTAAAGCACGTAATTACCACAGGGACTAAACACGGCATCTAGTATCCAGCCTTCATTTTTGCATTTGAATTCATGGGTGCATTTTAATGCTGGAGTTGTGGCATCGTAAATTTTTATAACATTTTCCTGTTGTAAAGACATGAACTTAGTACCATCTTCTGAGTACAAGCCACAGGAAAATATCTTTTCACCTCTATCTACTACGTTTACATGATTTGGCAAAAACCCGTCGTTAATGGCCCATCGTTGATTACTACCTATAGCCGCATTATATTGGCGTTTTCTAATGATACTAGGAAAAGTTATATACGATTTTCTATGAGATTTAGTGTTAAAATCAGATGGGCGACTCGCCTTATTTTCGGACATTTTCAATTTTTATGCTGAACTAATATTTCAGATAATTGAATTGAAGAATTCACAAAAATATATTTAAGAAAAACATACGTCAATGTTTTAAAAAAATAATTATTTTGACATATAAATATCTATAAAAATTGACAATCTCTAAATTAAAACCAATCTTTCTAGAAATTAGGTGGATAGACCTTATATTACATAATATAAGGTTTATGGCATTCATCAGTTGAATTATAAGTACATTGTTCTCATACGCTCCTTCATTAACTCTTACATCATTCATAGCTAAAATTTTTCAAAAACTAGTTATTCAACAACAATATGTTTTATTTACATTTCAGACTTTCAATTTATCTTCTTATATCATTTATAAAAACTTTTATAAAACGCCATAACGTTTTCACTTCTGAAAATATGCACTAGATTATTTTCATTTCGAGTCAAATTAAATTAATGTTTAACTTAAGCACTCATAATATTATCTCAAATGATTTCAATTACGAAATTTTATTATGTTTCCGGCCCTCATTTTCCTTCCGCTTACATCAACAATTTTGCCCTCGATCATAATTGCTTTCTACGTTGACATTCTCATAATAATTTCACCTCTCGACTGCATTTGTTCGCTACGTAAAGGCCTCGGCCCCCGTGTACACAAGAGCCAGCAATTATTATACTTTCCCGAAATTAATTTTGGCAACAGGAAATTTTATTCTAATTATAATCTTAGATACTTTGAATTAAACAGTGGAAAAATATGGCTAAAATTTTTGTGATATATAAACACAAATTTGATTTGATATTTTAAAAATATTTTTCCAACGTGTAACGCCTAAAAAGTTTATTTGTTTTATAGAAATGAATTCAAATATACCTATAATAAACATTATTAGATTAGAAATCATTATTCAAAGATGGAACAAAAATGCGTATAGACCAGTACTACCCCTTAAGCATCCTACATTAATAATAATTTTAGGAGTTGTGATTATATATAAGTAAACAATTTTTGAATAACTTTACCAATATAAAAGTATTTATGTTAAGTTGAATCTAGATAGCTTTAAAAGCATAAAAATATTACTTTTCTACTACTAGCATGATTTTTTCTAATATTTTAGATTAATAATAATAAGAATTTATGCTTGCATTTAGAAGAACGTAAAAACATTTACGTTTCTCCGAGTTCTTAAATGTTCTAAATACATTTCGTGAAACACGTAAAATATTTACTGAATGTCTTAGAAGTCAAGGCAAATTTCAACATGAGAGAACTTCCTCACTTTAATTAAAACATGACATGAGGAGCGAATGCTTCGCAGTGATATGACAATGCTAAAGTATAATGTAAAGCTAAGACAATGAGCATTATACTGGAATATTAATGTGTAAATTTATTAACATAAAATCTAATCACGAAATGATTTTCTTACCGCATACAGAATCATAAAATATCGAACTTAAAAAAACTCATTTACCTAAAAAGTTGTTCAATATAAATTATTGAACGAAAGAATTAGAACGAAAATGTTCAACATGTTAGAGATCTTGTTCAATCACTAGAGAAATCACTAAAAATCATCATCACCATCATCATCATCAAACAAAAATCAAAACTATCAAATCCAGAGTGAGAAAACTTTATTGGCTGCATATAATTCAAAACTAGCACTATCGAGAATAAAAATTTTGTTTTATAAAACAATAATTGTTCCTATCTGCTCTAGCAAATCTAATGTGGCATTCGTACAGCGGATCCAATCAAAACTACTTAGAATGATGATAAGTTCACCTTGGTTTGTGAGCAATAGATCTTTGCATGATGATCTGAGGGTGCAATATATCAAGGGCTTCATAAAAAACATTTTGACTAATTACATCAAAAATTAAAAAATCATTCCAATTCACTTGTTGCTTCGTTACTCCATACACTAGAATTGAGAAGACTAGAAAATTATAGCCAATTAACTTGATTCCGGTAAAATTGCATCTAAAAGTACATGCCCAATCGGGTAACTACTATCTATAATTATATTTCATTCATGTCGATCAAAATAATTTATTGAATATAACTTATTTGTTATTAAAAAGAAGAAATAAAAAAAACTTCAAACAAAAAATATTGTAGGCATGAACAATAAAATAATCGAACTAAATTATTCGAAACATTTAACGTATACGTTAGACTCACATTTGTCATTTCAAAATTTCTTATGCCAATATTTTTTGCTGTCGACCGAATCCAAGCATGATAACAACGAGCAAACATAACTTATGATAATTGTATTCCTTGTTTATATTACATTATTCACCATGCGGTCCTGAATAAGTTAAAAGTGTTTAGGAGTATTTACTTTAGCGAGCCCGCAACCCCAAGTGTAGTACAAAAACAAACAGACACATATTAAAATTGTATATATATACATTCACAAACGCAGTTTATTAGCAAAAATTGTAAAAAATTCTCTGAAACAAAAATATTTTTGTAGCCCCTTTTATCTATCAGATCTTGACTAGAACAAGTGGAACTATTATGTAATTTCCCCATCCTACAACTATGCAATTTGAGTAGCTTGTTACCAGAGAAAACGCGTAAAATAGTTTTATGAAAAGCTGTGAAAATTCGCGTATTTTTCTAACGTAAATAGTTTGCATAAAATGCAGGTAATAACGTGGATAGTATCATGTTAGAGATACTTTTATACGGAATATTGTTTCAATAGTTATTTTTCATTGTTGGAGCAATGTATTGTATATTACGAATTTTTAGAGGCATGAAACTGCTACTGTGAAAATAGTTATGCAATTTCTAATTATTTGAATTTAATTACGAAGCTTTAATGAAACTCGAGTTTGGTAAATTTATATAATAAAAGTTATCATTATCATTCCTAATTGATTGAAAAATTGAAAGCATATTTATAGTTAAAAGTTTTTAATATGTTTATTTGAAGCCAAATACTTAAAATGAAAAGCAATAAATAAATAAATTATTTATTATATATGTTTTGACAATGTAATTATTCAGCACGTTAACGAATTTAGAACTGAAAAAATCATATTGTTGGTAATTGTTTTATGAAATAACAACCAATAAAATAGGAAACTAAACTAACTAACATGATTAACAAATTGCCTACAACAATGTCTTTAATTGTGTGTTGCATTTTTCTTGGTTTGAATTTGTTATTTATTTATTGTTAATATAAATAGTTATTTATTGCTTTTAATTTCGACTATTTGGCAAAACGCAAAATGTTATCGCACTAAACGAAAATTCTTCAAGAACATAATTTGACAGTTTCAATTGAAACATAATTTTGACAGTTTCAATTAAAATGTTAAACAATTACTAATTTAGTTGTTATGATGGTAGTATATATCAAACTACCGTTACATCGAATCCTGTTGCATCAAGACTTAAATAATCAAAATATATGACCTTGCATTTAAACCTGCATATTAAAAACATACTTGCACAATATATGCAGTAGGTACACAACAGTTTTGCAAACTATTACTAAATCGAATATAACAATAGCCAGCAATAACTATTTTCTATTATGAACTAATCAAGCAGGTTTTAACCAATTGCTATGAGTGCTGAATAAAAACAGATATTTTTCATTTCTTATTTATAATGTTAAGTATTATTTTTTATATCAAGACAATTCTTACACATTTGTAATATTTTTATTCCAGACTGCAAGCGCATAATTTAACTTTTCCGTCCGACGGAACGACTCACTGGTTGAATCTGTCTACGCCAGTCACGGGAGATTGGTTCGGTGTCGCTTTTCTCAGCTGGACTGATCCGAAACTCGACAAAATAGAACAGCAAGGTAAATATGTGCAGAAATATTTTATACATTCTCGAAAAAGAATGGAGAATAAAACCGTAATAATAAATTACTTCTAGGGCACTTTAGATTTTTTTAAAAAAATATTTTTTAAGTAATCTCAAAATCAATCCAAAATTATTATTGATCTTCTGTTTGGATCCAAGAATCGAATACAAGTGAGGAATACAAATATAAACAAACAATTTCTAATTTGCAAATCCGTTTAAAAATTATTTAACTCTTTGGGGACGGCTGTCCACCTGAGTGGACAAACATACTCTGTGAGGCACTGGCTATTTTATAAACAATGACTCAGTTTGTATAAAAAAGTTGAATAAATTACATATAGCAGTGATAAACAGTGTTGTATTTTAAAGATAATTTCAAGTTATTTTAGTAGTATTTTTAGCCTTTTTTGCTATATAGTCTTTTTTTAATATTCAAAACGACCGAGCGCTTTTAAATATGGCAAAACGACTGGTAAATTTTGTGAATTAAGCAGTAGTGAAGATGAGTTTCAAATAGACATTCATACAGACAAATTTATGAAATTACTATTCGCACCGAAGATAGTGATGAATGTGATGATGATATTATCTAACCAACAAAAAAAATGTTCGGCAAATTAAATGAAGAGCGGAAAGACATTAGCGAATGTGCCGATTCTCTTTCAATAACCGAGTTTGACATACATCAACAAACACCCCGACTACAAATACCAAGCAATATAAGATATCCAATAAATTATTTTACATTTATTAGACAATATAATAGAAAAAAACAAACCATTATGGCAGCACAAAAATGAACAAGTATACTGACTAATCAGTGGCATATTCTAAATGTGAGATAAAGAAGAAGGGATTGTATTGTCTGTTCTGACAGAAAAGCACCAGGAGAAGGCGGCGAACAACATTTTATTGTAAAACATGTCAAAATCAACCAGCTATGCATTTTGGAAATTTTTTTGAACGTCACCATTCTTTATAAAATGATCAAAAATAAATTAATATTATAAATGTATGTCCTTCAATGACCAAAAATTTTTATCAAACAAACTGCATAACATACACAATAAAATCAAGTTTGCAGCCGGTACCGTAGATTGTTTTGAAATTGGTGCCGTCCCGTAAGTGTTAATAAATTTTATTTGACAGTAATACAACCATTCATATATTTTACACAAAGATTTGGGCTTCTGCATTTATAACTTTTTTTCCTTGGCAAGTACGCATGGAACGCATTGAAATGCTCCAACATACCACAGCATATTTCACTAATATTTGCTATATATATACGAACCATTGCGAATTTCATTCCCATAATTAATATTACCAGCACGTACTTAATTATAATCTGAAATTGACATTATGCGATGCTCAATGTGATATTGCTGCGCGCATTACTAGTTATATCAACTCCAATAGCGACGCGAATCCATTTCGAACGACATATTCAAATTGAGGGAAGTCAAATTACCTTTATTACCATCAAATGTTATTGCATTGGGAGTAATGCTTCTATATTAATTCATATTAAATGTACGTGGAATAAAATAAAAATTTGGTATGAAAATTCTATAGGCGTCAAAAGTTAGGGGCTGAACATCCCCTACATGCATATTGAACTATAATCAAATGGTATCTAAATTGAGAAGAATCAAATTATTCAACATCAGCATATACATAAAAAATCTCATTTTTTTTTTCAAGAATTTAAGTGTATTTTCAAACCCATTAGTTAATTAATTAGTTAATCCTTGTTAATAAGCGAATAGATTTCCCAAAGGCAAAATAACTTAATATCAGATCAAGGTTATAAATATTTATTTTACACCGTCAATTTTCTGCAAAGTTTCATAAATAAGAAATTAATCAACAATAATTCCAAAGAAACGGTTCTGCCGATCAACGATAAAATGCCAAAAAAATGCTAAATTTCGAACATACTGTGTTCAATTCTGGCGTCAATTCCGAATGATTAGAAACATCAAGTAAATGTAAAATTATCTAAAAAAATTGACAAAAAAATATTTTATGTTATGTTATATGTTGGAAAAAAAATATGCAGAATATATCAAAAGTGACAGTCTCTGTACAGCATATATTGGAGTATTAATTGTCAATGTTCTTCAAATTAATAAATATTATATAACCAGATAATTTATGATGTATTTTTAAAGAATAAAATTTAAACTAACCTGTGTAGTGGCGGCCAAACTTCACTAAATCTGCACCTGGTAAATTTGACACACACTGAACTCTTGACTATCAATTATCGGCATAGACTGACAAATAGGCATACGACATCACTCCAATATTGCAATACACCTGTTTACGTAAATAAATCTAAAACCGCACATAAACATATCTCACTGTAATCTATTTAGATTGTCAGTTGAAGATAAATATTATAATAAAAACTGTCCTGGTTTCTTCGAGACCCCGAAAATGCGACGAAGACGACCGGGGTGCATTCGGCGTCCCCGGTCACACGCCTTTGTTCTGGTCCCTACCAAACGCAGGAACGATATGAAAGATTTACTTCGACCATTGCCTTAACATCAACAAACATAGAACAACAATTCTTCATTGTATAGATATGAACTTCGGTTGGTAAACAAACCATTTGAAGTTGTATCAAAATATCGATATAATCGATACAAAAATTACTAATAACGAAATTAATAATAACTAGCTGTATGTGCACTTCGTTCGCGTGGATTTTTTTTTAATATATTTTATTGGCCTCGCTTACTCGAGCATTTAGCCACCTACATTATTCTATACAATCATATATTCTATACAATCTACAATTTCATACTGTCTTCTTCTTGATATAATTCTATTCTTTCTATACTTCTTAACTTACCTTCGCGTTCTTCTTTCTTCTTCTTTACTATCTTCTCATTTCATCTTCTATACACTTCCCCTTCTTCTACTATATTTCTCATTTCATCTTATAAATTCTTCTTATTTCAATTCATTTAATTCTAATTCTTTATTCTTTAATTTTTATACATTTTGATTGTTTTAAATACATATTTTTAATTACAATTCATAATTCTATTATAATTCCAAATTAACTACTTAATATTTTTCAAATTCTTGCCGGAGATTCGAACTCAGAACCTCCAGCGTGCGAATCGGGAACGCTACCCGGTAAGCTAATGCGTGGAGTTTTTAAAAATATTTAAACGTTTTGGTCATTTTTATATAAATTGCTATCTATTTGCATATTCTAATTTCTTTATACAATACGTTTGGCCTTTCTCAGACTCTTTGAGATTTGACTATTTTTAATCATTACTAATTTGAAAAATTAGCTAGTTTTGCATGGCATTATGTCTTAAGGCAGATTTATTTATCTTGAAAATTTATTTGAAATAATTATTTTTATTTCTGAAATGTTAAATTACGCACCTCTAATTATTTTTCTATACGAGTCTTTAGGTTTTAGGTAGGGGATATAATTTAGCGTCTAATTGTTAAACTGTATAAATATTGGTACGAAACTCATAAAAATGTGTACATAAAATTGTGAACAAAATCTGTATTTATTAATAAAATCTCTGTATAATATCTGATAATTTGTTGTGTTATTTTTTACTTCTCTTATTGTATTCATTTGTAACGTGAGTAAATTGAAAAAATATATATATTTATCTTTATAAATATTAATCACGGTAGTTTTTAATTGTAAGAATATGTTTTTAATATTACCATGTAATATCTATAGTAAAATATTAAAAAAAAATGTAGTAAAAATAAATTGAAACATGTGATTGAATACAGATATTTAATCATCTTATTACTATTATTATAATGTATGAAAGTAATTAAGCAAACCAAAATAGAAATTAATTACCATCTTAATTACAATTACATATATTTTTGTGTTTGTATATATAATAATAATGAATAATTACTAATAGTCTGCCTGAAGGCAGGTCCATGGTGTGAGAGCCACCATTTGATAGATATTTCTGGTCCATCATTCTCATTGCCGCTATAACACATACATATATAATGTATGTTTATATATACAACGAATTCTTCTTCAAATTATATTAAAATTTAATTTTTACTTTCTCAGGCCTGGGGCCCCGTTGCGAAACTTACATGCAGTCCGCCCTGCACGCGCTGCTGGACGAAGCTTCCCCGAGCCTGGTGCAGGACATTGTGTATGATCTGGCCTCCGTCCCCGGTGAGAAACAAAAGTTACGATTTCACGTGCCACATGAGACCAGGTCAGCATCCTTGAGATTTCGACTTTTTGACAGATTGGATCCGGCAGGAATGAGTGGAGGTAAATAGTTTAACAACTGAGATTCGTTATAAGAGTTCTTTTATTTTAAGCCAAACACGTATCATCAATTTAAGTTAAGAATACTTATTTATACATATTTATGGGTCAATTCTGGCATAAAATAGATCAATGTTATGGCAAGGCTATGTTAGGTTCCAGTTTTCATACAATATACTACTAAATACTGTCAAAATGCTATGTATTTGCTGTGCGATCAGACGTTGCACACATAAAATGCAACTTCACTCATATGTTATTAAACTATATCTCAAAGATTGAGCTAATGTGACAATGATTGAATATTGTTATTTCTATATTTGTGCTTTTTCCAGGTTAGGATTTCTATTTAAAACCCCTGGCTGCACAGCAATCACATCGAAATCAACAGTTTTTAGTACCACTGTATATGGAAATTATATAAATATAAATTAACATTGGTCTATTTTGCGATAGAATCGACTCCTTAGTCTTTAAATGCGATATTTAATATTATTTTACTTTTTTATTCACTCATAAAATGCAAATTATAGCTCTAAATGGAATTTAATGAAGACAAATTGGATTAAATTTAAATAATAAAATCCAGATAATTATGAACTTCCATAACTATTTTCACAATAGCTATTTAATTCCCTTCTAGAATTTCGTAATATAGAACAAATTGCTCTCACAATGAAAAATAACTATTGAAACAATATTCAGTATAGAAGTATCTCTAAAATGATACTTCATCCACGATATTACCTGCATTTTATGCCAACTATTTACGATCGAAAATTACGTAAATTTTCTGCGCTTTTCATAAAACTATTTTACGCATTTTCCCTGGTAACAAGCCACTCAAACTGCATTGTAGAATGAATTATATTTCATTTCCAATTATTCTTGTCATGATAGATACATATAGATGAAAGGAGCATCTTGGAATAATATTACATTCATTCAAAATTAAGTGATGAGATGAGGGTAGTAAATTTCTCTAACATACCAAAATCAATATTAAAATTTTATAGGACAAAATAAATAACAATCGAATAAATTTGCGTATAATTCAAAAATCCAATTATCAAGGTATTGTTTTCTATTGAGTTTTAATAGCTTATTTTTCTGGACCTAAATTTCAGATGTTTGTGTAATTTTATTCAATTATTTTTTGCGAATTTTTTATCCTCTCAAGGATCCATTTCAATGGTTCGCTTTTATTTTCCGTTTAAAACGAAATGAAAATACCCAATTAATTTCAATTGCTACGAGATTATGATTTCAAAAGACTTTTCTTTACGTCAGTGCCCGTGAATAAACCAACAAAGAAAAATATAATTAATTAGAAGAGGATGCTTAGTGGAAATAGTCTAACAATGGCCGAATCTTTCTGGAAAACGTAAAGAGAATGGCGTTCCGTAATTAATCGTTATTATATGCAAATCAGTTCTCGGTTATGTTCTCAATTTTAAGTGGAAGCTATTCATTTTAAAATAATTTATAAAGTTATTAACGCATGCTGAGGTAATTTATATATTAATTTAAATTATTCGTTAGAGAAAAATTGCCGGAAGAAAGACTCAAGAATTTATAATGCTGACTCACATTTTATTATATAATTGTTATTCTATAATTTTTGATAAATAAATTCAGTACTGTTTCCAATACGATACCATTATTAAAACGTTCATGCTTTTTTATTCAAACTCTGAGTATTTATGAGAAGCTTTTCTAAGCAATCGATTACCAATTATTGTTTTTCTATATATCATTATCTTCATGTCATCGATCATCTGCATATTTCATATAAAATACTCGTATGTCATAATACATCAGCTTTTGCTTCAAGTACACATTTTTATATGTATAACCGTAAATATTATTTTATCTGAATAAAAACTAATACATTTTGTCAGCATAATAGCATGACGATCCTAATTTAATAATTGTTAACAGTATAATTCCTGTATTCAAATTATATATTTTACATTAACCAACATAGTCATAAATAAATCAATATCCAAATAATATAAATAAATCAAAACTAAACAATAATATCAACAACATAGAATTCATTTGCCTAAACAACTATTATAATTATAATATTACGATGCATAATTACGTTCATTAAATGTTAATACGTTAAATATTAATACAACACAATTAAATGTTCATTTCATTTGTTAATGACGATAATTTATGACCAATATTGGTGATCCATAGAATATGTATATATATATATATATATATATATATATATACATATATATAATAGCTATAGTAAATAATATGTATAATAAAAATAAATAAAATTGCTGAACTTTATTTAAAATTCGATGGGAAAAGTACACTATTAGAAGATTTGTGATTAAATTGACTTAAAAAATGTGATCACAAAAGCACTCAGAAATTAACTAATGCTCCAACTCTACGATTTTTTTATCTTTTATATTTCTTAATAGTACGTTTCTGCAATTTTGACTCTTCTTTCTTAGCATTCTCATCATTAGCTACTTTGAGATTATTCATATTAAGATTATTCTGATCTACGTTTACGTATATTATTTGTTTATTTAACAAATAAAGCGTTGAAATAAATCAAACGATTTATATAAATAAAATATAAACTACCACTCAGCTAAAATATTCAAAAAAGTGCAATTTTAAAATAACAAGGTCTATTCAAATTCTGTATACCAAACACAGCAACTATGCAAAATTTTTACCAAACTCGGGAACTTTGCAACACTATTACCAAACACAACAAACGCTGCATAATTTATTTATTTTTTATTTAGTTAATATGTGCTATTGAAATATTGGCATTACTGTGTATACTTTTATGAATGTTGGGACGCATTTTTCTCCCAAAACTGGACAATTTTAAATAGGGTAGTACTGCCTTAGACCAGATCCGTGAGCTGAGTCAAACTCCAACTCGGTTTAGGGAAAATAGTGTGAAAGATTTCCAATTGCCACTTTACACCGCAGTGCCCGAAATGGGCTATTTTCAATTGAAAACATATATTTGATCTATATTTTCAAGTAAAATTGGACATTGCTGCTGCCCGATGCCAGGTTGTCCATAGCGAAATTCTAACTTTGTTTGCATAGCTTTATTGTCAATCAAAATAATATACATTTTTAAGACAATATGATGTTGGTGTTAATGCATTTAAAAGATTATCTTCTATGAGATATCTCTCTTTTTTATTTTTGACATTTTATTTAAGATCGTATGGCCATTTTTTTTCAATCTTCGTGTGGGATATTCCTTGCTTAACTCTTTTAAAAATATGTTTGGGTGACCTGGTAGTTTTTCGTGGTATTTTTGGCTCCTTTCTTTTATCATCTCATTAATAGTTTTCATTTTTAGGTCTTTATGTAGGGTGTCATTTGTAACATACCAGGGTGCGTTCACAATGCATCTTAAAATTTTCGATTGCGCCACTTGTATTTTTTTTATATTTGAATTGCCTTGCGCACGCCCATAGCTCAATGCCGTATATCCAGATTGGGATAATTATTGTTTTATATAAAAGGAGTTTGTTTTCATAGCACATATTTGAACTCCTGCCAATTAGCCAATACAACTCTTTGAACTTCTTCTCCATCTGTTTTCTTTTGAAATTCAAACTGCCGACCCCAACACGCACGCACACACACACACACACACACATATATATATACATCGATTAATAAGAATAAGTTTTCTTTCCTAGGATTTCGAAGTAAAAGCTACGAAGACGACAATACCACCCTATTGTACAAATTGTCCGGACCCGGAATTTCGCAATCGGGCGTCGCGGCTCTGAGTAGGAATGGAAGCGTCGAGGTGGAGATATCGCCGCGCAGAAACGCTTGGCATTACATGGAAATATCACTTCCTCAAGACACGAGAGCAGAAGTTGTAGACTACCGGTTTGTAATTTGCTCCAGATATACTTATACGTTTTCTTATATAAACCTACTTATACTCGTACAGAGCCCTTGATGAAGTCTCTATTCAGGAGAATTGAACAGTGTTAATAGACAGAGATATAAATGGTGCAAATCTGGTCAATTGCATTAAGATTATACTCTAATTATCTACTTTTTGTGTATTTTGAAAATCTCCGTGTTACGTAATAGTCGCATTGCAATTTTGAAAACCTGAAGTTATCTTGCGTCCATAAATAAAATGTTCCGAGAAACTAATTCATTGTATAATTACAAGTACATTAAAAGACGACGTAAACTAAGAAATTTTATCGTTGAATGAAATCCTGTGAGATTTTATGGCACTCTTATGCGATGAAGACTGTTCGTAATTTATTTGCACAAATTTTGAATCCTATGAGAATTTAATTACACGAAATGCAGTAACTAATATAATGAGTTGTTTTAGATAGCTGCGTTAAAATTTATTGGTGCAGTAAGAAACATACGTTTAAGTTATTTTTACTAATGAATAAAATAGCTCTTTATGTATTTTATATATTTTACGCCTATTTCACCTTTATAAAATCAGAAAAAATATATAAATTATTGATTTATTCAATTATTTAATATATATTGTTCTTTTGGAAGTAAGTTCAAAATATAAATGTACAAAATTCTTTTGTGGTTCGAACACAGTTTATTCTTTAATTTCTGCAGATTTTTAAAATTAAATTTCCTGAATAATGATAAAACTGAATAGTTTTATACCTCATTTTTCAGGTTGGAATTAGATCTCCGAGGCGATGACACCAGCAAATTTGACTCACCTCTTTTAATACGTCAAAGTTATCCCGAATTTTTCACATTTGATTACGACTTGCATCCAATGTCAAATGGTTCCACTCCTGCGACAATCACACTGAGCTCATATCGACCCACAAGTCTTTCTTTCGGCGTAGAGAGGGTACAAGACATTGGCGGAACTCTAGTAATTGGTATGGGACTGAAACCTACTGTTGATGACGTTAAGAAAGATGAAGTTATGTCAAAAGCCACATACAGCTATAATAAAGTCAAAGTAAGAAAAGAATACATACAGTTATGACAGTTATTCTTGGTTGTGAAATATTTGTTAAAGCATTCATAAACATTCAATAATTTTATAATTTATGTTTTCAGGTTGTTGTGTGTATTGGTCTAAACGTCCAGCCAACACCCGCATTCACCAACTCCTGTATGCACGGCTATTTGAACAGAACAGCCGATATGATTCTTAATACCACAGACACCATGAGTTTAGTAAATATACCTTTCCCTGAGCCAGGTACCTGGTTTGTGACTGCAGCTATATATTGCTATGATGAAAAAACCTCCAAATCTGAAAGAGACAAACTGACAGACGAATGCAAACAAGATATTGTTTTTTCTGTAAATTCAAGTCCTTGTTTGGGTGGCGGTTGTAGCGATTATGGAAAGTGTTACCATTATATGTCCGGAGGATTTGTATACTCTACATGCATATGCTGGAAAGGATACAGCGGTAGGTATTTAATACAACATATTCTTCTTGTAAACAAATTAAATTTATTCGTACTTGTTTTAGGATGGGATTGCTCCGATGCGTCCAGCGTTCCTAGCTCCTGGCTTTTGTTGCTGCAAACTTTATGTCTTACGTTATCAAACTTGATGTTCCTAGTTAGTGTTGTATTTGCAATACGAAGAAAACATTATCCACAAGCTATGGTTTATGCAGCTACCATGCTGTTTTCTGCTTTGTATCACGCTTGTGATTCTGGCGAGGATGAATATAGTTTTTGCTTGGTTCGGTTATCGGCCATGCAATTTGCTGACTTCTACTGTGGACTTCTGAGCATTTGGATAACTCTGCTAGCTATAGCCAACGTCAGAGAAGGGTAAGAATATTAAAAAACTGAAGCAATGTTTTTAAAATAACGCACAATATTAAATTCCAGTCTGGCTTTGTTGCTTCACACTGCAGCATCCATTATTTTTGCTGTTTGTACAGAATTGGACAAACACGCATTATGGGTGTTTTTGCTAGCGGCTTTGTCCGGTTTGGCGGTTGTTCTTGCTTCTTGGGGGTTGCATTACAGACGAGAAAAGCGATTTTATCCAACGCGTCGATATCTGATCTTTTATCTACCATTAGGACTTGTCATTACTGGTATTGGTCTCATATGCTACGCGTTTTTGCAGACCAATAATAACTATTATATAGTACACTCACTGTGGCATATGGTAAGTGCTAAAAATTACATTGTACAGTAGTTACTTATGCTACGTATCTACAACTTTTGCCCTTCATTATCTTTTTACTGATTTCTTTTTGCTTTTTGTAGATAATGGCCATCGGTGTTGTTTTACTTTTGCCTGATTATTCGAATAGTATGAGAAAAAGTGGTACTGATAATAGATTATTCGAAAACGACAGTCCAATCAGCACAACTACAAATGGTGGAGTGCTAATGAACGGGGAGGCAAATGGACCGCATGTCTAGCATAAGTCAAATATATTCCAAAGGCTCGTGTCGATTCTGTTCCGTTCTCAGTATCGAAAACTTTAAATAAAAGCCTGATCTTGTCCATGTTTCGAAATAATCCGCATAACTCAAAAATGCATGTTTTTGTTCAAGTACCAATAATATAATAAAGTAAAATCTGTGTATTTTTCTTCACTATAATATCGAAACATGGATGAAATTCATAAAACTGCTCGAGCCTTTGCGAATTAATTTTACACATTCCAAATAATTTGCCTATGCATACAAAAGATCTAGAAATTAATTTGTATCGCACAACTAATGAATATCATAGAACACATGATATAATGAAACAACTTTTCACGAATTGGCTTTGATTGATTTATCAAAAGTCAAATAGTTTAATGAATTTTAATAAAAATTTGATATTTATTGCATTCACCCTATTTTATGGCACAAAAACATTTGGAATACGAAATATGTATACTTGTATGAAAAGAAAATTGTAAAGAATTTGCCATTGATATCTGTGATCTAACTATATTTACGTTAAAAGCGTAAAACTATGCATTCCTTCAAGAACTTGTACAAAAAATGATCGAATTTTGAAAGTGATGAAAAATAATATTTGTTGTATATATTTTAAATGTTAGGTTACCAAAAAATGATTTCTAGACTCTTTATAATTATTTAGTTTGTAGGTTGTTTATTGCTGCAAGCAATATCGTCCGCTATCGTTTGTTGAAAGACTAAGCAGAAAAAAGGCATTAAAATTTAATAATAATAATTTAAGATTAAAATAAGCGGTCGTTTATTCAAAGCTTGAACGCTTACTGAAATATAGAACGTAGAATAAAGTGATTGTATTCAGAAAATACAAGACAAATATTTTGGAGTATATTCTGAATATAACCATTGATCATTTAGCGCATTTCTCGAAACAATAAGACTGAACCGTCCTATTGTAACATTCCAAAGACATTTAGTTTAGTTTAATTACAAAGTGATAGTCTTTATATACTTTTAATTTAGATTAAATTAGTTATCTTATACAGCTTCAGCTATCACAATTTCTTAATTCATTTTTAATTTAAAAATTGAAAACTTCAAACAACTATGATAAACTATATGACACGGTGTAAAAATTTAATAAAAAAAACATTTAAAATTAAGAAATATTTTTATATACCAATGGTTGTATCGTTGTCGTGATTTATACGTAATATGCATAAAATCAAAATATTTATAAACTCTCAAATGAAATGAACAAAAACAAACAAAACATATAAGGTATCCATTTTTCTAGTCACTTAAGGAAAAGCCTGCAACATGAAGAGAAAAATATGAAAATATTTTAGAATTAAGTAATTTGTATAATAAAAGTCATCGCGCATATTTCTTTCTGTCAGAAATTCAGATTATTTTAGTCATAAGTCTGTTAACTATTCTGATAAACCGATTCTAGAAATTACCTAGCATTCTGTCCAAAGTTGATCATAATTTTACCTAGTTCTTCACAATTTTATTGATATGAGTGTTATGAGTTATTTTTACTTTTTACCATTTAAAAAAAATCGTAATATTTAATCAATTTTTTGATATAGTCATCATAGTAAACTCATAAAACAGAAATTACAATAGTATATAAGAATATAATAACTTTGTATAAATAATAATAAATTTTGGAAAAAAAAATTTTAGTTTCCGATAGACATTTGATATGTGATTCATGAATCAGATAGAGAAAAATCGAACTTTGGAAGCAAGATCATCACAATACGGTGTATCTGTAAATAGTATATTCTTATATCTTGAGCACAAATATAGATATTACATTGCAATAGTATATAAGAAAACGGATGATTTGCCCTAGTAAGTTTGCAAAGTCACGAATGAAAAATATGTACTCTGAAGAGAATAATTTCAAATGTCACGTGTTACCTAATGTTTGTATTGAAATATATATGATTGTTGTTATGATAAAAAAAAGGTTTTTAATTTATTTTTAAATAAATAAATTAAGGAAAAAAAAGTAAACTCGAAAATAACTTGATGAAACTGTGTCGACTTTTGGGACAAAGATCCTAATGTTTATCGATCTATAATAGACTGTTAATATATAAAAATTTAAAATAATACAGTAAGCAACTGGGCCTAAAGAAACGTGATGTTTCATCTCAAATCAATTAACCTAAAACCTTTCAACTTTTCAAAGACGCATCCGCTGAACTTTGCATCGTAGAACAAATATAATTTTCCAACTGATTTTGAAATTTTTAAATATAAAATTATTTTTACTCTTAATAGCATTTTATATTGAAGTTGATTTAAAGAACTGTTATCTTTTGCAATAATTTTATTCTATAAACATATCGGAGTTCAACTATTTAAAGCTTATTTTTAACAAATGTTAAATTTATAAAATTCACAATTTCAGGAACTCAACAAACAATTATTCACACGGATTGTACTCTTAGACAGCTGCGCTTACACATTACAAACAATCGTATAAAATAATTCTTATATATAAAAATAATTTGTTAAGACTTTCAATCTATCTTCTCGCAACTTTAACAATCATATTTACATATTTATATATAAAATGCATGGTGTATATACACTTATATGCATTGTTAATTTTTATACATAGATTTATAACTATAAAAATACAATCATGACGTGAATATATATAAAATGTTAAATACTTAAAATAATGTAAAATATCTTACAACATAAACGGTTTTTATAAATGGCAAATATATGGAAAATCGACGCGATTTCACGATTATTATAATTATGGCTTGATAAGGTGTATGTAAATTTGTAGGCAGTCAATTTTACATTTTATCGAAGGCAAATATCAGCAATTGCACGATTTTTTTATTCTATCATTGTCGCTTCCACGTAATGAAAATTTATTATCATCTAAGATGCAGTCCTGACTGTTCATCAATTTATCGTTTTCCATTATCTGTAAAGAATAATATTTTTATTATAAAAATTATATAAAAAAATATAGGAAAATATGAAATGAAAAATCGTATGTTATTAGAAGATCATGCACTGTAAGAAGTCTATGTTATGACGAAAATAAATCTTTCGAAAGATTTTACTTGGGAGTCGTGCCGGTTGGTCTTTGCTAAAGATTGGCCAAGGCATTTCTTTGGAGTTGTCGAAAAAATCTAATCGTTAGATTTATTAAAACTCTGCATAATGATAAAGTTCGTGACCTGAACGAACGTCCTAAAATTACAGGTCTACCAAAAAGCAGAAGTCGAACTATTGAGTTTTTAAGAAAAAAACAACTACAGTATCGATTATTAATGTTTATCCAAGAAATATGTATCTTGTCATATCACTACGGAACAATTTTCAAAATCAAAGTTTAAATGTGTAAACACATCTAATGTGTTTCTACAGATTAGATAAAATTTAATCGATTGTTGTACCCGAGCAAATATCAGACTTTACACAACGAGAAACATCTATTCCACTGGAGGAAGTTTCTAATTGCACAGAGCAGTGCAACTGAGATTCATATACAACCATGGATATAAAATAAATATAAATGTTATCGATAAAGTACGGAAATTTTAAATAAATAGAACAGATAGTATCACAATAAGTTGGTTAGTTTTGTAGCTGTTTATTTTTAGAAATTTGTGAATTCAGATTGATTTGAACCACATTATAACTTTATTAGGGAATTGACAAGCATTTTGTACAACTTTTTTGAAATATAAGCTTTTGCACATAAAGAAACAAACTCAGAAGAGTTTGAAACAATACTGCTATTGAACATAGCAATAAAAAGATGCATATTCATAATCTTATTTAACCGATATTTCGAGTTAGTTTTAATAGAGTCTATTATTATACGAAAACATCTAGTTATAGTTTTACTACTAAACTGATTTTCTACTATTCAATACAAATTTATTTTTGACATTTTTATTAGAGTTTATATAATCCTGATGTATAGTTTTCATATTTGATGCAGCGATATCGGTAAAGAATATTTTCACAAAAATATTTTGATATATTTTTCAAAATCCATATCACCTTTGTCTGACCAACAACTTCGGTTGCAAGGCCAAAACCTTACAACATACGCCACGAAGTGCCCACAAATCATAATATTTGTAACTACTAATCTGAATTTAACATTAATGAACTACCAAATAGATTAAATTAAATTAGTTGAAGAATAAATTGTCTTTATATCGTAAAATGAATTCATGTTAACCCTTTCCACTCGCAAATTCCGAGATTTATATGAATTTTGTCGCCGGAGAGGCGGCATCCGAGTGGAAAAGTTAAACATTGATAATTGAATATTCATAGAAATCCATCAAATTAATTAATCATATATTTTTTGTTAAAAAATTGGAAATAAATGGTTACGAAAAAGAGAGGACAATAGACAAATTTATTCTGATACTTATGTTAGTTCAGTAAATACTATCCTTAAATTTATTTTTACATACCGTTTTTACTAAAGCAGTTGCTGCTTCTTCTATATTAACGTTTTCCTTTGCCGATGTTTCGAACCATGCAGCAAAACCTTTTTCTTTTACAAATTCATCAAGTTTAGACGGAGAACTTGCTAGGCCTTCTTTAGGTTGATCACACTGTATGATAAAATCAATGTAAGTATATTCATGGAGCAATGCCGGGTAAGAGCAATTTGTATTATATCTATAAAAATTGATGAATCTTCAAAATTTATCATTTATATCCACCTTATTTGCTAAAAGAATACAAGGTATAGGTGATCCATCAGGTAGTTGTACTTTGGCATCCAAATCCGCTTTCCATTTATGAACAGCATCAAAGGTGACGGATCTGGTGACATCGAAGACCAAAAAGGCACCTACGGCTTCTTTGTAATACACCCGGGTCATGTTTCCAAAACGCTCTTGACCTGGATAAAACAAACAGGTATATAATGGATAAAATTATACGAAATTGAAAATAAATGGAGATTTCAAAAGTTAAGTGTATTAATGATAATTGAAGAGAGACTCAATGAATAATTATCTTTCTCGCGCCACTAATAATATAATAATGCTGAATGTATATCGTACAGTTTACACTATATAAATCCAAAATTAGAAATGAAAATTTAAATGATCTATAATATAAAAAAATCGAATTTAAAAGCAAAAGGCAAAAGGCAAAGACAAATTTGAAAATTTGTAATTTTTTTTATTGCAGCATTAAATTATAATTAACTGCATTAAACAATGATTTGTGTTTCCTAAATAACTACTGGAACTAGTTTCATTAATTAATACTAGTTAATTTTTGTATCCGAAGGTGAAGGCAGTTATACTGAATGTAGAAAAGCTAAAAAACGTCTTGTATATATAATACTTTAGAAGCGTTAGAGCTATTTCTAAAACAGTAAATCTATCAATCAAAAGAGTACATATTTCGAGAAGTATGAAAACTTTCAAAACCGTGATTTAAATAATAAATTATTTTTTATTTATTTATATTTAAATAAATATAGTAATGTCCAAATCTAACATTATTAGACATGCGAAAGGCAACGAATAATTTTAAAATTTATAATTTTTATCGATTGCAGCATTAATTCATAATTAACTGCATTAAATTACGATATGTTTTTCCTAAATAACTAACTAGTTTCAGTATTTTGATCATTAATTTTTGTACTCAAAGTTGAAAAGGAGTTATACTAAATAATATAGTAAAACTAAAAAACGTCTAGTATATTTCATTTTTAAATGTAAGAATTAGAGCTATTCTTAAAACAGTACCCATATAAATCAAAATAGTGCATAAGAACATTGCATAAGAATAAATAGAACATTTTTTTAGAAATATGAAAATTTTCGAAACCGTGATTTTGTATTTTATATGTTCATCATTTGACATTGTTCAGTTTTATATTATCTTTAGCTTCAACTTTAATTTAAAATTTAAGTACAAAGTATTAAATTATGTGTATATTAATCAATATGCATAAGTATTAACGACTATGTTATAATCTATAAGTACACATTTATTGTCAATTATCTGTATTTTATTAAGTAATAAAAATAATTTTATCAATGATAAATTATATAAGCAAGACCATTTAAGAACTTCTACTTTCAAAAAATTTGAATTCATATATTAATTTTTGTAACATTAACAATATTTACTCTAAATGTATTTTCTAATATTTTTTTATTAACTTCTGTTTTGATTTGCGGCATCAACCTTTTAACTTATAAATTATTAAAGCACAACCTAATTGTTGAATAAATAAATATATAAAAAATATAAATTTATTTGATATAATAACGAATAGTTAGTATATAATTCAAGAAGTGTTCAAATCAGATTGTAAACGACTACAAAATAGTTTACTCATATTAAAATCGTTAGTAATTTTGTATGAAGTATTTATAAAATTGATATTTTCAAGTGCAAAAATTATAAAAAATTATAGCGAAATAGTAAAATTATTATATATTATATATATATATATAATTCCATTTAATTTTGTTTTTATTTATATTTATAGGAAAGCTATTGATATAAATTTACTATTATAAGAAATAGTGACGTTGTATAATTTAATTATAAACTATTCGTATTTATTGCTTTAGATACAAAATGAATATTATTATGCAAGAGCAATGACAGATTATTATATAGAACAGTTGAATGAAACAGATAAGAAACATCACAAAACTTAAATAATTTAGAATTTAATGAGGAGATCGTCACCCCATAAAATAATTTTAATTTGTAGACGTAGACTATTAGAAATGATGCCAATAACTTGTAAAATATTAGCATTTCAATATATAAAGTAACTAAATTATTTATTAAGAACAAATTTAACTACTTAATCACATTGCCAAAATAGAAAAATGCCACAACAATAAAGTCTTCACATTAAGCTTCCTCAGTATAATATAAAACGAATTTAGTTTCATTTAAATTCTGACCAGCTCTTCCTTTATTAGAAATCGATACCCTTGATAACCATTATCGTGTATTTGCAGATTTCTATTCAAAGTTCTTATTGAACCATATTCATAGTGAAGAATAAATTATAACAATTGAAGGTCAATAATCCGCATTTGATGGCTGATAAACATCCATTTGTTTAAGAAAACGCGCCACAAATCCGGTAAATTCTTTGACAGTGTCAAGGAAATAGAGATAAATGTAGAAAAAATTTAAACAAGATTGATGAATTTATTATGATATATAAATGATAGTTGAAGGTTCGATGAACTGTTGCGTCGTAATTAAATAGTTGTTAAAAATACAAGCATTTATATAAATTTTAGAACTAATATTTCGATTTTAGAAATAATATTCGAAATATCTATTTAAAAATTATACATTCACGAAAATTATTTTTATATAAGATATAAATGATACTTGAAGGTTCGGTGAACTGCTGCAACTTAATTAAATAATTACTTTAAAAAATGATAGAAAAAAATGATAAAAAAAAGATTGACAAAAATTTACAAGCAAAATTACTAAATGATATTTGATTTTTTTAAATTATTGGAGTCTTAGATTATTCTACGTCAGTTGAGTATGATCTCATCAAAATTTCCAATAAAAATCATTATCAATAACCAACATTAAAAAAGTAAATCAACATAAACATTTGCTGTAAAGATATTTATAATGGAATGCAATAAATTTGATGTTTGGTCAATGAAGAAATTAATATTGAAAATTCTTATACAGTTGTATTTTCAAACTGCAGATCTAGATAATTTGTGATAATTATTTAATTAGCCCAAAACCCTTAGGCTGTTAACTTATAGATAATTTATTTTATATTTATATGGTGTTTTTATATGAAACTCAATTAAACTTCAATTATCTTAATATTCAATGTGGAAGTAATACTGGTAACATCTACCTTTTAGTTCAATCAATTATGTAAAATAGTAAATTACCAATATCAGATCACAATGTCAACAGAACATTAATTTAAAAAAATACTTTTTGCTATTTATTTATTATACTTCTAGATATCTACTAAAGACAACTGTATATCATTCGGTGAAATAAAAGTAAAGACAGTTTTCAAACTAAATCTTTTCAAGTATCAAAATATACATTACATCATTTCACCTGATCGATTCGAGTGGCTATTTTTAGATAAATAAATTTGCATTTATATCTGCATTGCACGCAGAACGCTAGCGTGACCTGAGTTGATAAACTTGTAAATATACATAAAAAGGCTAAATTATAGGTATATAGTTCTAAAATCAAACCAGAATATGCTATTCTGAAGGTAATTAGTAATTGAAATAGGTATTGAAAAATAAGAATGTATTTGCTTACTGTTAGCAACAATCAGTGTTCTTATTTAAATTGTTAATTACATTCATGAGGTGACTTAATATTTATAATGAATCTACAGTTTAATTTTGCCATCGGTGTTTTTTTAAAGATGATAAAACAACCAAAAAAAGGTGAAAAATTGCAAGACAATACATAGAAACAGATAATACTTGGTCGATACAGAATTACATAAATAATATTTATTAGGCGCTATGAGTCGACCAGGTTATAGTTTGGCGTGGCGTCATCACAGGGTATCATGTTCATTAGTGTATAAGATATACAAATATTTATATAAATCTAGATGTATCAGTTTCAAAATAAAAACTGTAGGTCCGCGAATATCAACCTGTGGGGCGCGTTCCCTCAGGGCACGCCAGGCTGTTCTAAAGAGGGGTTTCCAGAATACAATTTTCGAAAATAACCCAAAATTTTTGAAATGATATTAAAAAATAAACAAAATATTTTATTTTTAATGCATGTTTTTACATAATATTGCATATTAATTTGTAGTCTAATAATTTCAGTTGAGTATTTATAAAATTAAATTTTTGAAAAAAATAATGGGGCAGAGTCGACAATTTTTTATCAGAGCAGGAGGGCACCTTGTAAGAAACCACTGCTTTGGGTAGTATTTGTATCAAAACTTTGATAGTTAAAAAATACTTTGAAACGATTATGCAAAATGATTACGAGTTTTCGACGAATATAAAAATAAAATGTAGTTATCACATTATTCATAATTAAAATATATGAAATATGTATTTAGCGCGGAGCCAGCGACCAATCAACCACGCATATCTCGAAACCTATTTAATGTACCAACTTTAGATTTTGGTCACATTTTTGGTAAGGTACAATAACAATGTGTGCCAAGTTTCATAAAAATCGAATTATGGTCTTTTGAGAACATATCATCTGTTTATATATTAGTACATATATATCTTATGTAATTTTTTACATAATCATCTTGCATCTTTCCGATAAGCATTTTTTCGGATTAAAATTGTTCTTCATATAATTATGTTCAAAATTACATCACATGCATCTTCTCTTGTTATCATCGTTAAGAAAATCAAATCAAATATTTTTGTTGCGCTTACTACATATTTATCGACATCTAATCTTGTGTAATTTATTAGTTTAGTCAAAAGATAAGATAAAGTGTCATTCTTACCTGCAATATCCCATAGTTGGAGACGCACCACGCTGTCGCTGTCCCAATTGAGAACCTTCAAGGCAAAATCAACACCGATGGTGGCCCGATAGTGTTGACTGAAGAACTGGTGCACGTATCTTTTTATTATACTAGTTTTCCCTGTGCCCAATTCACCGATTACTAAGATTTTGTACAAATACTCCCTTCGTTCATTAGATTTAATAGACTGTAAGGAATAAAAGAAACAGGTAAATATTCAGATCGTTTGAACAGGTGCTAGTAAGTGAATAGTGGAGTTATATCCAAACAACATTGTTGCTGAGTGTACCGGCAATTCATGTAATAATTTATCAAAGACAATTAATAATTACTTATTTAGTAATTAGAAGCAAAATATATTAAAGCCATATTAGGTAAATATTCATATCGACAGGTGCTATTCGTATTATTTGTTGTTAGAATAAGTAATTGAATAGTGCAGTTATATCCAAACAACATCGTTCTATAGTGTACCGGCAATTTATGTAATAATTTATCAAAGATAATAATTACTGATTTAGTAATTAGAAGCAAAATATATTAAAGCCTTATTATGCAATAAAATACCGTTTCGTTTAATGATTTGTTCAAGCATTGAATTAATAAAATTAACGTTTGGTAACGGTTGTTCATAAATGTATAAATCTTGTTTTAACTGGTTGTAAAATTATATGACGTTAAAAGCCCGACTATAAATTGTAAATTATTCAATTGATAAGAAAAATACAATTGTAATTGTCACCGCGTGAGTGACTTGTCTCGTAAATCCACGATGTAGTAATAAACCACCACCACGTCTCGACATATATTGTTTGCAGAGATAAATTTTGCACCTTCTGTATGTTCAAGAAATTATATCTTATGAGTCAGTACAAGCATAATATACACCAGAGTAATGAACTTAAAAATAATTTTACCATTATAGCAGATTTTTTAGTCTCTTTGATTTTAGAAGAATCTACTACATCAGTTTTTATAAAACCGTTCGTTTTTGCACTATGATTATTATTTTTATTCACACCATTTTTTAGTCTGCCATTGTTCTTATTCACTAAATCGTTCACTTTAACATCCAAATGCACAAATCCAAAATCTTGAGCCGCTGTGTCAATATCCTTTTTATTTAAGTCCGCTTTTGTCTTTTGATTAAATGGTTCAATTTGATTTTCGTCCTCGTCGTCTTCAGCGATACTACTGGATGAGGAACAAGATGACAAAGAATCAGGAAACGCGTCTCTTGAAGTGATCGAACCATAGGCATCGAATGGTTGTGAAGCACGTCTGTGGGCAAGTAAACTTTCCTGGTTCAACACCATCTGTAGTGATTTCAAGGAGTTTGAGCTGTAAGAAAAATTCAGTCGTTTCCGAAAACCCCGTTCCATTCTCATCTGCTGCGCATGCATCGACAATATCCTTGGCGGGCTTTTAGATTTCGATCTTCCTAAAACCATGTTTTCTGTCGGTTTCGGAGCCATGTTGCTGATATCTTGCCGGTACCTTACTCGAAAACTTCTATAACCAGCACCTCCAAGACAATCGGCTACTGATTCCGGTTCGGAATCCAGGTCTCGCATAGTTGGTCGGCTGATGTAGACTGACTGACTATTTTATCGTTCGGTAAACAATCGATATTGAGGCTATTGTTTCTTAAAGAGTGGGGAGTGTGGATTACGTGATTTAAACACGGTATATAACAAAATTGTCAACATTCACCTTCGTTTTCACAGTTTTCAAGTAGGATCCTTTAAAATTCTAAACCACAACATAGTAAATTTATTTAACACTTAGGTATCAATTAGATGATTACCTTTTTGGTCCTTTTGAAAGATATGTAATAATGTCAATACTTGCAATATGATTACTCGTCACCTCATTAAAACTTCTCATGAGAATTCATAATCTGCCTCCAAACTAAAAATAAAAGGACAATACGTCAGTTCCTTTTGATACAAGATTTTGTGGAGGTTAGGTAAAGAAGAAGAACGTTAATTGTTAATAATCAAAGTTATAACACCTAAATTTATGTTTAAGCATTATTGATTAAAAATTCTCATGATAAGTTTATGCATAAAACGGATTTACCTATATTTATCACGTCATCCATAATTTTAATCGTCATAATATTTAAGATGACCTGTAAGTTTAATGCTATCGAAATTATTAAAACACGTTCGGTATCATTCATAAATAATTTGTCAAAATCAAAACATTTACACAGCAAAATTAATTTATGTAAACATTCGCATTTTGATACTACTATTTTCACCGATGTTATCACAAGATATATTTTATATCTGAACTCAAAATAAACTAATATGTGTTTTTTTATTAATTTACGAAGAAGAAGCGCAGGCTTCCTTAATGTCGTCTATTTTAAGCAATTAAAAGTTTGTATGAAATGTAAACAGATAAGAAATGTCACAAACATTCACTCACAACTAAATGCTCTTTGCTCTACGTCGATATTGCACGTCGTTGGCTGACAATTCATTGAGATTATAAATCGGATAAAACTTGATTTTTTTATTTATACACGATAAGAGAACTAGATCACCAGTAGCATAAAAAATCTACGCAACTCTATATTAAAATATAAAAATACTAAAAATATTCATATGAAAAAATAAAAATATAATCATACGAGTGCAGATAAATAATTAATAAATTCAAATCGTAATAATTAGGAGCAATAAGTTGTAATTGTAATAAAAATTAAATAGATAAATAACTGTTTCTTGTTATGTTTTTAATTTTCTAGACTGTTCAAATAAATTGCTATTGCAATTGCAAATAAAACATAATCTAGAACCGAACAATTTTTATATTTATAATAAAGGGCAATGTCGACAATTTATTAACTTAAGTTATTGCAATCGTCCAAAAATCGAAATTGAAGAAAGGATATGTATGTGCGTGTGTATGTATGTAACGATACAATTTTTCGCCTACGTTTTCAAAAAACGTTCGATTCCTATTGATATGGAGATGTACTGATTAATTTTTGGAAAAAGCAGGTCCAGCTGTTTCGGAGATACGGAGCAAAGACTGCAGAAAATAGAAATCGTATTTTTGAGAGAACAAAGCATTCGATCAAGAAAATATTCAATTCGTAATGATGGGGAGAAAAGATGGTTAGATTTTGGCAAAGGCAGGTCTAGCCGTTTAGGAGGTAGCAAAATAGGCAAAAAATGGCAGTTTTTGAGATAACTATAAGCATCCAATTTGAAAAATTCAGAAAACCTGCTTGTGCCGATGAAACAATTGCTTTTGAAAATAGATTTTTTTTATTTATCTTTTTTTAATTTCCAAAAAATATTTTTTATTACTAAATTTTATTGTTTGAATATTTAATTATGATACGGGAAGTTTAATCGTAACTGCATACTTAAACAACACAAATTTAAAAAAAAATGGACAATTTAAAAAAAAAAATTGCGCATTAAAAATAATGCAATATGATGCAATGTGATAACAGGATGGATAGATAATTAAAAAAACATTTGCTATATGAAAACTTTTTAATTTTTTTGTTATTCCAATTTAAATCATTTGTATGTTTTACGTCCCTGATATATTTGAATTATTAATAGACCAAAACCGTCACGATAATGAGAAATTCAATGTAAATAAGGTGTTTATTGCCTCAATGTAGGAAAATATCTATGAAACTAGAATAATAAGTATAGGGAGATTCCTCGGATCCGATAAGAAAACGACGTGGAAATGTACACGTAGCATGGTTATCAAAATAATTGTTTAAAGCCAAATATTACTTGAGAATCGTAAAATATCGACAAAAAATAATATACCTAGACTTGTGTTTAGAACACTTTATAAAATGGCATTTCTGTTTAATTTTCTATGAAGGCTCTCGGTATTTTTTTTACATGTCATTAACCTTTCAACTTAGTTTCAAAAATAACCATAGATGTAAAATTTTGATCTCATTAAGTTTGAATACAAAATGATTTATAACAAATGTAAATCCCGCAAAATGGTTTTTGTTAGCTTTGCAATAAAGTCTAGCCAGCAACAATGTATAAAACAATTCAAAATAACTTGTACAAATAAGTCTGAATGATAAGCAAATGAAACTTCACTAAACAGATACGCATAAAATCTTTTAATTGTACCTGTGATTAATTTACAGACTAAAATTTGCATTTGTAAATAGTAATAATTTATTATATATATACATATATCAATTTTGAAATATCTAAATGCGGAACGACAGCGTCAGTTTCTTTCTAATTGCAAATTAGATGACTAATACAAAATAAATATGAAATTTGATCTGAAATTCTAATTAATATGCATAGTTAACTTTTTATTATTCGATAGAACAATTCTAATTTAACAAATAATCGAATATGGACACATGATTTTATATCTTACATTAAAGTAACACGTGTAGTTTTGTTTTTGAATTACAGAATTGATTTACGTTTGGAACAAATAAGGTGCTCGATTATGATAAAAAAATGATAAAGGATTATAGACATATTTATTTTTCGATTATGTGATAAAATCTTATTGATAAAAAATATATTGTTAAAAATGCACACAATACAAATTGAAATCTGTAAACAAATAATTAAGTCACAATTCGAAGATTCATTACTCGATGCGATATATTTTATGTGGGATTAATATTCTAATCCCATTTTAATAAATAGTTATACGTAGTTGATTTATATTTAGATTATAATAGACTTAAGTTTATTAGTTAAATTTTCTATTATTTATTTTTGTGTGTTCTAATTATTCATAGTTTGTTCATTGATATGATTTACGAAAGGGTAGTCCTTTGAAATCCATTCTAATTATATCAACCATTCCAATACCAAATGTATATTATAAGACAGGTTTTTTTTTTGATATTAGAAAAAAATTGGTAAAATATAATTTTGTTCATCAAACTTTGAGAATATTTCTAGATATCTCATAACTGTTGTTTATTATTAAATTAATTATATATTCTATAAGATGTTTATGTAACATTACTTAATCATTGTGCAAATATACTATTATTTTTTGAATTGAACTAAATAAAATTATTTTTAGGCACTTAAACTTAATTTAAGATATGAATGTAATGTTAAATTAATGAAAGCATAGATATTTAAAATATTAAAAAATAATTTGTGTTTTAGTACCTAAGCTGTTTTAGTACTAAAGCTATACAAAATCTTTCAATCCTTATATTTAATTAATGCATATGAGATGCACCAAACAAACCCAAATCACTTTATCAAATCGATGTATTCTAATCACATATATCACACAAACACTTGAAATTTAAATATTGATTTATCACACAAACCAAATGGAAAACTATCAAACTATTCCACTAACAACAAAATTGCCTATGTGATCTATCGAACACTCTGGCTAACACTATTGTGCAAAATTGTGTGCAAAACTTCTTTATCGGAGAGAGGAAACGCAATGTAAATACGCCTGAACATTGAACAGATACAAACAATTGTTCTATTTATAAAATCAAAAATTGTAAATCGTATTTTATAATAAGATAAGCAGATACTATAACTTCAAAACAAAAAAAAATAAAAGAAACAAAATTGGTGATCCAGATTATAATTGAGCATTTCATAAAAAATTGTGGTTTTGCCTAATTTGTGTAGGTTTATATATTATATTTTTAGTAAATAATATAAATACACAATAAAATTCAAAATGTATGAATTTTTTTGTTAAACCAATTCACAATTACGATTTGCTAAAAGATTAATTTACTTTAATTTTTTTTTTGTTACAATTTATTTTTGTTAATCAAGACATTTACTTTAAATGATATCCAAACGTAATTTTTTTTATTGTATATTTTGTTATTGAAAACAAGTTTGCTGATAATTTCAATATTGATTTTTATTAAATTTGGCTTTATGATTTGCAATAAAAAAAACTAAATTATACCCGAATTTATTGTTGTATTTTTTAATATTATAAATAAATCCATATTTAAATTGAATACTTAATTGCATTGCTACATCAATAATTAGAATAATCTGCCATGTATATACAGAAAAATTTGCAGTATACGAATTACATTTACAAACGTCAATATACAATAGTAACATGAATAATTGAAGTTTTATGCAAGTATAGATGACAAATACGAATTGCAATACCTGCATAATGACATGTTAACTATAAATATTTTTTTTTTTTTTTTTTTTTATTTTCTTATAAATTACAATCTGTCTAAAACTATAAATATAACGTAGAAATTATCTTACATTTGTGTGCACAACATTATTTCACAAAACAAATTACAAGATGTATGTCTTGTTAATGAAGAACCTCATTAATTTTAAATTCATCATAATGATTCATAAATCTATTATAAAATATCAACACCGTCAAGGTGTTCAAACATCAATCTAATCTATTTGTGATAGTTTTTAGATGGATATTCTGTTGAATATGATAAAAATAGTTAAAACAATGATATCTTTTAATAAATCAAATAAGATTACTTTTAATAGTGATAAAAATTTTTATTAGATTCAAGCACTAATACTTTTTTCGATAAATATTATATTAATATATTATACGATATAATTTTTTTTATATATCAAAAATTATAAATTTCTATAAGCTATTATGCAAAGTATACGATATAAATAGATTTGAAAATATTTGAAATGGTAATCAAATATTATACTACTTTTAATAATAACTCAAAAATATTATATAAAACTATATTATAATGATAATTTTTAGATTTAAATATAATATAATAAATTTTGGGCTGAAAAACCTACAAATTTGATGGAAATTCAAAAACTTTATCTGCTAAATCTTTTTGCAGGAACATTACAAGTAAATTAATTGTATATCTACATATTGAAAACGTATTTATATTATAA